CCCCAAAACCCCAAAACCCCAAAACCCCAAAACCCCATTAAACTAATAGAAAAAAGTATCGTTGAAGACTATTTCAAAATAAATTAAAATTAACAAACACATTTAATATATATAGACATTTGGAAATGACTACTTTAAAAATAGGAAAGGCTATATTCCAGGCCTCATTAGCAAATCCTGTTAAGGAAGTGCTTGAATAAATTATAAGCTTAAACTGGCATTTCCTCCAGAAGCTTATCCACTTCACTAAGTTACTCAGTGATTTATAATTATAGTCGAAATCTTAAGTCATTAATTAAATTTTCTAGATCTTGCAACAAATATTATTAGTTGTTGGTTTAGGTTATGCTCTCTATGTTTAAAAATTATTGACAAACTCTCTAAATTTTGAATACATTGTATTCTTCTTCTTAAGTTATCAAATTTATAAACTTAGTGTAGATTTGATTGAACTTAAGTTGGTTTTTGTGGGGGTTGAGAGTTTATTCTAAAATTAATCTGCTTTTAGAATGAGAATTTGTTTCCTTAAACCTTAATACTTATCTTGTCATAGACACAAGGTATCCTATGTATTGCCTAAGCTGAGGGCTATTTTCATCTAGCCTCTTCAATTGATCTAAGATGATTGAAAACTCATTGATCTCTTTAGCTGAAACCATTAAATTGAATGGCTGCATAAATTAACCAAGTATCAATTATTTTTTCCTTTCGAGAGTAATCTGAAAGAAATTGATTCTTGAAATCTTAAATCTGTCTTAGTTGCAGTCCTCGGATTAAATGTTTTCTGTCGATTCATTTTAAAATGTATCAATTATATAATCTTTAAATTGAGTTGGAGAGGAAATTTAGCCATCTTGAGTTTTTGGACAGTCAGAAATAGATGGTTTAATAATCTATTAAGCAAGAGAGTTAAAATTGGAAAAAGAACTCTCATTATCTTCTGCAGGTAAGTCCTTGACATATTAATGATAGCTCGATTCAGAATTTGGAGAGAAGCATTGGTTCAATGAAGGCTGAGAAGACCACAAGATATTTAATTATTGTTCTTCACAAGAAGTTATTGCTTCTCTTTGAAATTAATTATCTTCATTTAATAACTAGAGTTAATGGCTTATATTTTCAATATCAGTTAAAGAGCAAGTAGTCAAATCATCCGAGATATATTAAGAAAAGGAAAATGATTAATCAAGAGCAGCTCCTTAATTTAAATTTTATATCATGTTTTATCTCGCATCCTCCGAATCATCGCTTTTACAATCTTCATTTAAATAGCTTTCTTATTACATTTTGCTTTCCAAGCAGATTTCACCATTTGCATAATGATCATATTTATTGTATTAAGTTGTATTATATTGAGGTTAATAGTCAGATATCTCTTAGACTTATTAGAAGACTCGACATTAAGATAAAGGAGTTGGAGATAGAGGTCTGTTGGTTAGAGTTTAAGTAAATTAAATAGTTAAGGTGTGATCCATATTTCTGAATGATTAAGCTTACTGGAAGTTGGTAATCAATGGAAAATGATTTGTTTAATATTAGTAAATTTTAAACTTAGCAATATTTATACTTCATTTCCCCTAATTTTTTTACTTTTTAAAATTTTTTTGTAACTTGGGGTTTTGGGGTTTTGGGGTTTTGGGG